AAGGCATTGGTGGGAGGCTTGTTTAGTATCTGAGTGGGATCATGACTACGATGTTCATCTGCATGTTACCAGCATGGAATATACGCACTTTGAAGACAAGTAGGCTCAGAAAGAAAGGAAAACTTCCAGGGAGGGAGGAGGCAGAGTGAAAGACTGCTAACACTTGCAGCGCGAAGATCAGGGGAAAGATGGAAATACCAGAGCAGGATAATCTGCAGGAGGAGGAAATCAGGCACAGAAAATCAACACTTGATGGGAGGCTACCCTAAATACCTACTGGGAGGCTGGTATTTACCCTCCAGGCAGTAGCAGGGCAGGTGCCAAATCCGCCTGTTGAAGAAGCGGGAGGTTACCAGCAGAACTAGCACACCATAACCCTGGGGGACCTTTCTTGCAAACACACCATTAGATTTTTGGCATGGAGAGAAGCTGGCAGCCCCGTTTCACACCAGCGATGATGTCACACAGCTCTTATTTCAGAAGCATCTCTGTGAAGTTGACAGCTATCTCCTCTGATTCTGCTCAGATTGCCAATGTTGGTGGCTGAGGCAGGTTTTCAGTGGTCCCCGAGGGAGCAGCTGTACATAATGAATGGAAGGTGTCTTTTAGCACCTTAGCAGTTAGGTGCTTAGCAGTTATCCACGGACTTTGGTAGTCTTTCAACTACATGAAAAAGCCAACCAGTAACAGCTCATCATTTTTCAAGGTGTTTTTAAGGCAGGGAAAGAGCATTTGCAGCTTGCTTAGGATTTTGGGATGCTTCACAAGTTGATTCAAGGCACTGTGACTTTCTAGCAACGCTCCTGCAGGATTCTTCACTTTGTTTTGTCTAAGAGAAGGAAAATGTATGGCTGATTCCCGCTTAATTAGGCCTCATCTGCTAAACAGTTCTGTCACTATTTACGTAGGAGTAGTCCCCACTGAAGTCGGGTCCTGCAGCTGTATACTTCATCTGGTAACAATGTGATTCCAAGATAAACAGACTTGGAACAAGAGATGTACATTGCCTTATATGTATGAACTACCTGCCTGCAGCCAATGCTGTGCCGTGTCATTCTGGCAAATGCTAGCAGCTATTCCATTTCAACAGCCTGGAAACAGACCACCTGATTATTAGTTTGAAATAATGGGCTAAGCTCTACTCACTGCTCCAGCTTTTAGTGAAGTATATGACTTGTCAGGTGAGTAACTTTGAGTCACTTGTGTCCCTCTATGGTACTAAGAAAAAAAATCACATCCAGTGATTTTTCATGGCTGGGTCTCTCATGGCCTGGGGATAAGGTGTTCTAGAAGGAAAAAAAAAAAAAAAAAACAAAAAACAAACAAACAAAAAGCAGAGCTGGAAACAAGACATAGGGAAAGGAAATGCCTTGAAACTCAACAGGCATTTAGGTTTCATTCTAAACCTAAATTAAGTCATCCCTTTTCTAATCTTTCTAATGCCCTTCTTGCAGGAATCCCTGACAGAGGATTGACTGGTGCCTTGACTGGTGTCTCAACTTCAGCTCTGGCCCAGCAGAATGACTTGGGCTCTTCTCTCACCTGTGAGGGCCACTACAAGGCAAGAACTCTGATTGTTTCATACTGCCTCCTCCTACTCATCTTCTGCCAGGTAATTCCCATTCTCCATAGCACGCCCTATTACCCTACCAATGACCTTTGGTTTTTCCATAGAGTTTTGTACCATTCCCTTGATTGCAGCCCAGTTTATTGCATTGGTTACACTGACACTATCTAAAGCAAACCCTTCAGCAAACACGTTTAATTTGGTCTATTGAGAATGAGATGTGATGTTGGTGTCATCAGTGGTCACCTAGCCCCAGGGAGGTGGGTGGAGTCCTGTCCTTCAGCAGAAATACTGACCAGGAGCCCTCCTAGCTGGCTGTCCAAAGAAGTAACTTTGCTTGTGGCTCTGTCCCATGTGGCATCCCCAGAAAACACAAGTTCTCCCAGGCAGGCCCCTGCCTTATCACTGCTGGCAAACCCCATCAGTCTCCTGTAGAAAATGCATCAGCACAGGGCTGGAATGACACCAGGCTACTTCCTGCTCTGGACCTCCTGGGAAGCTTTGTGCAAGGATTATTTTTTGTTGTAAATTTAACGTTATTACATCAATATGATGCTACGACCCACCAAAGGTTTCTCCTGGGCATCTCTAACAAATGAGACCTTCATCAGAAAATGAAGATACCTAGAAGTTAGTGAAATGAGGAGTAGGAGAGGAACAGTGCTGCAAAGTACTTTTTTACAAGTGTTACAGAGGGGATTACTTTCTCAATCAAAGACTATGTTTCTTGAGCTCTAAAATAAGTATGTAGAAATATGTTTTAAATGATAACTTTGTGGAGTTCTCTCTGTAAAACACTGAGGACTCCACAGGGTCAGAAACCTTTAAGATTTAGATATGTGTTTATGTAGTCAAAACGTGAATTGTGCAACTTACTACCCAAAGTAGATACTACTAAATTATTTTATTCCCCTGAGGAAGAGGCAGGAGCAAATTGCTTAGAAGAATGTGGGAGAGAGCCCAACTCATTGCAGTCTTACCACTTGTTGCAACACTTTGGCTTATTTTTTTTTTTTTTATTTATTTTTTCAACTTGAATGCCACTTAAAACTGGTGTTCCTGACCAGTATTAACACTCACTATGAGTACTTCCAACTGTTGGGGGAAAACTTCAGCTTCCTGCCTGAGGCTCAGCCCTTGGGGACGTGTCTCGGGTGACAGGGTGTCAGCGGCAGGCTGATCTGCCGGGTGCAGTGTTTCACCAGCAGCAGGCTCTGCCTGCACATGGCACACGGGCAGGGGGTGGTGCGCTGAGGGGGTTCCGTGGCTCTCCTCAGGGCAGCTTTGCTGGATGCCACTTGGACTTTTCTTCTAACACCTTGTCCCCAGGACAGCCGAGGCAGGAAAGTACCAGCTGTACCAGTCTTAGGGCAGCATCTGCTGGTTATTGCATGGATCAACATAGATGGTTGTCATGGAAGAGGCTGCTTGCTTTGGCTCCCAGGCGGAGGTACCTGGGACTGGGGGGCGGGAGAAACGGGCGCTTGGGAGACAAATGACCCGTCAGTGCAATTCCAACACTCAGTCAGGAGAGAACGGGAGTGGACGAGGAGCTCCTCGGTCTTGGTCTCTTTTTTTTTTTCCTCATGAGAGGCAGCGCCCATAAACTTTGGCAAGTCCAGGTTCAGTTGACTGCAATTCGCCTTCGAAGCGAAGAAACCCTCCCCGCCACCTCCCACAGCCCTTCCCGCACCGCTCCCGCGGGGCTCTCGGAGCCGGGGAGGCGGGGCAGCCGCTGAGAATAAACCCCAGATGCCAAGACAAGATGGGGACGGGGACTCTGTCAGCCTTGGCACGAGTAACCCCGGGGCTCGGCCACCTCTCTCGGGGAAAGGGGCTGCAGTGGCGCCCAGGTGTGCGGGCGTTCTCCCAGCGCAAGCAGACCGGAATTGGCTTGGCCACCGAAATCACGGGCGGAGCCGGGGCGCTGCTGGGGGAGACAGGGGGAGAGCAAAGGCAGAAGCCGGGGATGCGCTGCCCTCCCCTCCCGGGCTGTGCCTCGGCGGCGGCAGGGGCTCGGTGCCGGCCGGCCGAGCATCCCGCCCTCGGGATGCGCCTCCCGGCGAGGGCGGAGGGAGGAGGGGGAGGAGAAGCGTGCGGGAAGTTGCAGCTCGGGAAAGGCAGGGGTTTCGGAAAGGAACTCGTCTTGGCAACTGTGCCACGCTCCTCTTGTGGCAGGACCTAGTATGCAACAAGTCCCTGGAGCACTTCCCGTGAGAGCGCGGTGAAGGTGCCACTCAAACGAACAAACAGACAAACAGCCCCCCGAATGCTGACTTACCTGTCCCGAGCGTAAATCTGCAGAGCCGGCTCGCCTTGCGCGGCCCCGGGTGCGAGCCGGGAGGTGGAAGGAGGGCGGTGGGAGTCAGGGCTGGCTGCGCAGCGCGCCCGGCCGGCCAGGACTTCACTCGGGAACTTGGTGTCCCGCTCCGGTTTCCTGGGAGGCGGCTGCGATCACGTTTTATACTGTATTGGTTGGTAACCCCTCTCATTCATTAAGATCACGTAAGAACTCAGAGGGAAACGTGACTCTGAGCTAAGGCGTTTGCGTAAATCTATAGGTTTTTAAAACTCCCTGCCAGTTGCTTTCTGTCTTCTGTAGGCACCAAGGTGGTGGAGAGTTTAAGCTTGCGGATATTGCAAAGGGTTATTAGATTCATAAGTCACACCAAGTGGTGGGCGATCCACTGAGCAAAGCAGAAGTTCTCACATGATGACTTCAAACAAGACACATTACCTTCCAGCATCTGTTGGAGAGACTGGATTTTAAACCACTTCTGTCTCCAGGACAGCAAAGAAACAATGGTGAGTACCTACAAAAAAAAAAGCTTATTTTTAATACCCGGAGAGAGGAACAAAACAACTACACCAAAAAGCTCGAGATGCTGCTTAACGACAGGATCTGATATCACGGGCTCGGCTTTCTAGTACTTAATACGCCAAAGAGCGTAACCCGCGGAGGCCGGCGGAATTGTGCTTTAGACGGTGTAACTTTAATTGCGGCGCTCTTTGATTTAGGGCTGCGATGGGAACGGCGCGCCTGAGCCACAAACTTGCAGCTTGCGGCGGCCGGGCTGCCGCCGGGCGCTCTCCCGTCCGTCCCTCGGCGGGCACCGGGGGGGCCGGGGGCTCGGGGCTGCCCCGGAGGGGGCGGGGAGCGGAGCGGGGAGGCGGCGGCGCCGGCGGCGGCACCGGCAGCACCCTGGACAGCGGCGGCGGGGGCCGGCTCCGCAGTGCTCCGCGACCCGGCGGGCGCTGGGTGCCGGCTGCCCTCCCCCGCCAAGCCCCGGTCCTTCTTCCACTCCCCTCCCTCCCCTCCCTCCCCGCCCGCCGCCCTCTCGCCCCAGCTGGAGCTGGGCGAAGTTGAATTCCTAGCGGTGCGGACTGGAATAGGAACAAGAGAGGAGGGATATATAAAAAAAAAAAAAAAAAAAAAGAGTCTTGCAAGCTCCGGGGGTTGGTTTGACGGTGTCAACTTTGGGAAATGCCAGTATTTATCTCCGCGATCTAGCCACTGCTCGTGGTGTTAGCTGTAACCAAGGTAAGCACAGGGGGGACACCCCCGGCGGCCCCTCTGGCTCCTGCCTCTCCCTCTCTGTGGTGCGGGGATGGGTGCCTGCTCTTCGCCTAGTTTTGTTACCTTGCTGGCTGCTTGATGTGTGTGAGGGCTAGAGGAGGAAGGAAGGAAAAGCTGGATGAGATTTAACCACGAGTTAACTTAAGTTGTGCCTGATTTAACCTGGGAATCTCGTCTATGTGTGTGTGCATGCTTTGGGCAGAGATGCAACTGATCTTTACCAAAAGAAGCAGATGCGACGGATTTTTTTTTTTTTTTTCCTGGCTAAGGATGCAAGTTGATTTTGCATAGCTAAAGAGATGCAGCTAGCTGGCACTGTGCAGGACTGATCTTTCACAGATAAAGGGACGCAGCTGATCTTTACCTACACGGAGATTAGCTGACCCCTCCGCGTACGCAACCTACGGCTCAAAGGGAGAGCCGTGCATGTATTGCCGATGATCCAATATCCGCATCTACTTTGCTATAATTAATGGTGTGTGTGCGTGTGTGTGTGCGCGCGTTTGGCAAGGCTGAAACCCAAACGCAGCCCCCCCAACTGGAGATCATTCGGATAAGCTTTCTGCTCATCTCCCTCCCTATCTCTAGTGCCTCCCCCCAGCCCTCCCCGCGCTTCCGATTCTTCCTACGTAGAAATGTAGCTAATAATATTTAGTCTCCGGGCTAAAAATAAGCTCTGGAAAGTCAGCAGTTTGGCGGAGCCGCGGCGGCAGCGGCAGCGCTCGCAGGTAGAGAGGCTCAGGGGGTCTCCGGCTCCGCACGGAGCCCGAGCATCGCCCCCTCCCCCGCTGCCGCCAGCAGAGCCCGCCCGGAGCCCCGCCGTGCCCGCTCCGCACACACCGCGCTCCTCCGCCCGGGGAATCCCGGCCGCGGGGAGCCCCCTCCGAGCCGCCCGGCCGAGCCCCCCGGGCCCTCCCTGCGGCAGCGCCCCGGGCCGGCCCCGCTGCGGAGCGAGGGCGGATCCCGGGGCCCCGCCGCCCCCGCCTCCCGCCGGGCTCCCTCCCGCTCGGCTCGCACGTAGCGCCGCCGGGCAGGGAAGCCCCCGGCAGGCGGGAGGGAAGGAAGGAGGGAGGGAGGGAGGGATGGAGAGAGGCCGGCCCGCCGCGGGGAGGGGGCGGCGTCCCCAGCGCGCAGCAGGGCGGAGACGCCGCGCAGGCACCGCGCCCGCCGGGCCGAGCCGGGCCGGGCCGCCCCCGCCGGCGTCCCCCGGGTCCCCCCTCCCTCCCTCCCTCCCTCCCCAGCGCGGTTGCCACAGCGACCGCCTCCTCCCGGGAGGCTCCGTGCTGCGGAAACGGGGCACGGTGCCCGGGGATGGGGGCGCCGGGGATGCCGCCCCTCCGCCGCCCCCTCCGCCCCGCGGCCCGGGCCCCTGGACGGCGGCAGCGGAGCCGCACCGGGCACGGCGCAGCCAAAATGGAGGTGGCGCAGGACGGCTCCGGAGGGGCTCGCTCCGGATAAAGTCGGGCATCTGCCGCCTGTGCTGCGGCCGTGTCCGCTCTGGGGTCCGGTCGGTAACGGGGGGAGCAGCCGCTCTCCTGCCCGGGAGATGCGCTACTGGCGGCCTTGGCTCAGCGCCGTCCCCTTTTACACCCCCCAGGCCGGCCGGAGGAGGGAGCGGGCAGCGTCCCTCCGTGGATTTTTCCATTTGCACCTGGAGAACTCGCGTTTGCTGGGGATACCTGTCAGGGTGCCGTAGGAGGCAGTTCTAAAGGGGAGGAGAGAGGAGCCAGAGAAGAGCCAGGTCTCGGCAGCATCCTTCGTCAGGAGGCTGGGTGACACTCGAACACTCATGATTTGCAGTATTGGTCTCATTAAATTCATACTGAAACGCCCTCTGACCTTTTTTCACTTAGGAAAAAGTAATGTGGTAGAGCCAATATTTCAATACATCCACTCTGAACTAGAGGTTGATGAGCCCTACTAAAAATCTACCCACTTCCCAAAATATTTTTTTTTTCTGTTATCTAGGAGGTTGTCAAGGAGCTTCTAGTTATATGAATTTTCCACTCCATGCATAATTTTGTCTATCTTCCTGTATTTTGAGTTTGCGCCCATTACTTTCTTGCCAACTCTTAAAAAACTCCAGCATTTCCCTTTCTGCCTCTGTTGCCATGTTTCTCTGGAATTCTAATCATTCTCTGCAGAGAGGCCTGGGATGGACGGCTGCTAACAAATGATACGGGCCAGTTTTGGTCCCATCCTGGTGACTCATACCTTCATCTGCAAGTAGCTTTATTGATTTTAGTATCTCCTGTTTCTCCAGGAGCTGTCACTGCTTTGGTGGTGGTTCATCACCACCTTTCATCTCTTACAGTTACGGTACTGTAAAATGGCCAATGTCCTTGGGCTAGGTCTTCATCCTCCAAAGTTTTGGTGTGGCAGTCTTTTTTTGCCTCTTTTTTAAGGTTTTCTTTTCCCTGGTACCACGAGTGTTGGCTTCAGTGTCAGGTGTCTGTGTCCAGCTGAGATGGTTTTTATAATATATGGTGTTTGACACAGGCCTTGTCTCTATGCAAGTTTGCCATTCTCAGCAGCTCACCATTTGGATAACCTTTTGATTTTCAGGATTGCTCAACAATTTCCTGTTTCAAACGGTCTGATATTTCTCCCTATTTATTTTTAGTGGCCAGCATTCACAGGCATGTATGCCAGTGGATTAATGTCTAGCATTTCATTAATCTGAGGTGGCTGGGTGCATACATTTGGCTTTGTACAGCGTCCTTTTTTTTTTTTTTTTTCCTTTCTTTATCACATTAATGCTGTTGAGCTCTTAGAAATGCACTAAGAAAATGCAGACTGGCTGCCATTCAGTAACCATAAGTTGCTTCCTAAATACAGTGGCATATGGTTGCCCTGCCATGAGAAATTCTGGAAAGGTGGATAAATCCCGAGGGACAGATTTTCCTCGGAGCTGTAAGTCTTACCATGAATCATTGTAGTAAATCACCACTAAGCACTTGAAGATGTAGCTGCTAGAATTTTTTTTTTTTTTTTTTTTTTTTAAATCAGCTACGCAAACAAAGAGAGCATCCCTAAGATTTCAGGAGAACTAGTTCATTCCTCTGGCAAAAAATAGTAACGTCAAGTCAGTAAACAGCATCTGCAAGAAACAGTGCCTATCAAAGTTGTTGAAAATCAGTAGATTCCCCAGACCTTGGGAATGAGACAGGTAGTGCAAGGTAAAATATGTCTGAAAAGACACTTTCACGGCTCCCTCCCCTTTGAGCTAACATTAGATTGGGGCTAAGAAACTGGGGCTAGCAAAAGCAGGCTTGTCAAAGTGGTCCTTAAAATGGATTTGATGGCTTTTGGGGCATGGAGAGCTAGAAAGGAAGAGTGGAGAAATGCAGGGCTGGTTTTGTAATGCTCGTTTGCATTTGTGGTCAGCAAGTCCAGCTAACAATAAGGACTGCAGAAGATGGGCAGATGAAATGTCAAAGAAAAGGTAATACTTGTATGCCTGGACGTAAGATTTTGCAACACGTGTGGGCATCCCCATGTTCCTCTCGTGTTTGGTTTTCCAAATATTTTTACCCTTCCCTTCTGCATCTCTCCCACCACATTGTTGGGAGCAGTGAAGTGCCCTGGCAGGGAAATGTCAGGGAGCATCCTGCAGCCCCCAGGGCACGTGATGGACGGGGTCACTGGCAAGCTGCTCGCCACCTTTGGTGAATTCCTACACCCACGTGCCAGCAGCAAGGTGTAGGGTAGGGCACAGGCTTCTCCCATGAACTGAAAATATCTCTGAGACATACTTCTGCAAAATGATAGCCAGGAAAACATATCGACTGACATGGAGTTCATATAACAACTGCCCACCCATTTCATTATTTCACAAATGTGTGATTCTTGCTTGTGAGCTGTCACCATTAACATTTCCATCTGTCTCAATATTGCTTCTATTCTTAGTTGCTTTGTGATAGATGTAGGTGTATGAAAAAGATTTTCCCTCCCTCCTTGTGTCGTGAAGTAAAATAAGTGAAAGCCACATATATGTATCCACACATTTTCGTGCAGGCAGCCAGAAATAGAGGCACTTTCATGGCACTCCCATTACTAGATGTAGAGGGGAAGTAAGAAGCACATGCCTGTGGCCTCTTGGTGCTGCTGGAACAGGCACATAACGGGGAAAAACATAAATAAGTCAAAATCTAACTGCAAAAGAACAATGTTGCTTTGATCTCCTTTTGAATATGCAGTTGGAGAGACCTATTTTCCCAACCATGTAAGTATGGGAATAATTTTACTTACCATGTAATCCTAATTGGTCTTTTCCTGAGGCAATCTCAAAGGGAAAATAGCTTTGGTGACATGCTTTGGTGTTCAAAGGATCAGGTCCTCAGCTGTGTAGGTATTTCTAAACTTAGACCTTTGAAGCTGCTCATTGCTTGGACAAACAGAAAACTCTCTGCGATGTAGGCACAAGCTGCTCTTCTCAGCACCTCTGTGCCAGGAGTGGCATCAGTGGGATTCCTGTGGCAATGACCAGACATGGCACAGGAGTCTCCAGCAGAAGTACATCTGCTTCCAGTCCCGCTATCCCTGCTGTCCTTTGAGCTTCACGGCTCCCATGCAGAGTGCAAATGCACAGTCCCCTGATGGAAGAAGTCTCTGAAGTGGCTGGTAGGTGTGATGCATCTTCACCCTGGCACTGATGCTTCCAGAGGGGCAGGGATGTGGTCCCAGCTGGGCTGTGGGGCCTGGGGCAGAGCCCTGGGGCCAGGGCAGTGCCCCAGAGCCAGCTGTGCTGGCAGGGAGGGGTTCCCCAGAGCCACAGCTGCTGTGTTGGCTCTTGTGCAGGGGAGCACTGGTGCAGGGGCTGCAGTGGGCCAAGCTCTTGCCATGAGTGGCCAAGTGTTCACTTTTTATTCCCCCTGCTTTTTCATAGTGTGGCCTGTCTTGTTTTTGGGTTTTTTTCCTTCCCAAAATAGCACACAAACCCCCAATTTAACAAGCATAAACCG